AAAAAAAAAAAAAAAACAACAACAACAATAGTGACCACAAATAGTATGTTTGATAAGCACAATATGCTAGCTTATAGCTTATTCAGTTACACCTTATAACTTATAAGCTTTCTGTATATAAATAAATTTGGTTTAGCAGGACGAACTTTTATAAAAACCTTGAACGTATCTTATATTCTTTGCTAACTTTTCAAATAAGCCTCTTGAAGTTTTTATTTTAGCTTATTTATCAGCTAATTTGACCAAATACTTTCATCATATCAGCTAGTCATATGTGTAAACTAGAGAATTTTTGATACAGTAATGAACATATTTGGGGAAATTTTCACAGCTAGAATATTTTCATTTTTTGATACAACTCATACCCAAACTGCAGACAAAACACGTGAAGAAAGCTACAACCAATAGAAACCACACACGTGGCTAAGTTGCTGGCAACAAAACAAAATACAGAAAATATAACACGACTCTATTAGTGAATAGCAACTAAGGGCAACACTGGCAATGTAAAATGTAAAAGAAGAATAAGACTGAAATGAACTCAGCAACTTCAACATCTCAATCTGTATGTTCTTCATGAATTACTCTTCATCTCAACACCCCCCCCTCAAGCTGGAATGGGGTCGAAAGAACACAGTCCTAGCTTGCAAATGAATCGGTGAAAGTCTGGGCCTCCAAGAGCTTTGGTAAAAAGGTCAGCCGACTGTAGGGATGACGGAATGTGGAGAGGAGCAATGAAGCCATCCTTGAATTTGTTGCGGACAACATGACAGTCGATGTCAAGGTGTTTGGTCCGTTCGTGGAAGACGGGATTGGCCGTGATATGGAGGGCAGCCTTATTGTCACACCAAAGCTTGATTGGATGAGTGAGTGTAAGACCAAGATCATGAGTAATATAGTGAATCCATTGCAGTTCACAAACAGTAGTGGCCATGGATCGGTACTCAGCTTCAGCCGAGGAACGGGATACGATTTTTTGCTTTTTAGTCTTCCAAGAAATGAGAGCTTGCCCTAAGAAAATGCAGTACCCGGTCAGAGATTTTCTAGTGATGGCACAACTGCCCCAATCCGCATCACAAAAAGCTTCAAGACATGTGGACTTCTCAGCTTTGTAAAACAGGCCCAAAGAAGGATGACCCTTCAAGTATTTGACCACATGTAAAGCTGCATTCCAATGTGCTTGTGTAGGGGCTTGCAAGAACTGACTCAACTGTTGTATAGCATAGGAAATGTCAGGTCTGGAAAGATTCAGATAAAGCAATTTCCCAATCAATCTCCTGTAAGAATCTGAAGCAGGCAAAATAGGTGAGTTTTGAGCTGAAAGATTGACCCCTTGTGGTAAAGGAGTGGTGACAGATTTAGCAAGCTCCAGCCCAAGGTCCTGCACAATGTCTAAGATGTATTTTCTTTGACTTAGATAAGTCCCTTCAGTGGTCCTGCAAACTTCAAGCCCCAAGAAATATTTAACTGCACCCAAATCCTTGATAGTGAATAGGCTATGAAGATAAGTTTTGAGATCTGTTATTTCCTCAAGGGAACTCCCAGCAATTAACACATCATCCACATATATAAGTAGACCTAAGAAAGAATTGGCCTTTCTTTTAATGAAGAGACAGTGATCGTGGGAGGATTGGACAAAACCATAAGCCAAGAGTTTGTCGGAGAATTCGATGTTCCATTGCCTAGAGGCTTTTAAGCCATAAAGGCTTCTCTTTAATAGGCAAACTTCTCCTTGTCTTGCCTTTGAATATCCTTTAGGAGGTATCATGTACACTTCCTCATCCAAAAATCCATGCAAAAAGGCATTATTAATGTCGATATGGTGTAACTCCAAACCTGTTTGTGTAGCCAATGCAATCAATAACCTCACAGACACTAACTTTGCAACAGGTGAGAAGCTGTCCAAGAAATCAACACCTTCCTTTTGAAGATATCCCTTTGCAACTAACCTTGCCTTATATTTGTCAATGTTTCCATCCAGGTTTCTTTTGATCTTGTAGACCCACTTTGAGCCAATTGCTCTCTTTCCCAAAGGCAATTTGGTTAGCACCCAAGTCTCGTTTTCTTCCAATGCTTGAAGCTCCTTATTCATAGCTTCAGTCCATTTAGCACTTTTGGCAGCTTGTTCATAATATGTTGGCTCAGCTTCTGATTTTTCCAATTCTGTGAGGAATGAATGAATACAGGATTTGACATTACCCTTTAAGACAGAACCTACCACATAATCTGAAAGCCAACCAGGTGGTTTCCTCATTCTCTTGCTTTCACCAGTTGCTGTGGGTAAGTTATCTTGTTCCATATGAATTACATCATCATCATCATAAGCATTATCAGACTCTTCATAGCAGTCTTGGATTACTGGCATTGGTGGAGATTTGTGCTTGTTAGTACCAGTAACAAAGGGAAATTCATCCTCATAGAAGACAACATCCCTTGAAATGAAAGTTTCCTGTGTGTCAAGACAATAAACCCTATAACCCTTTGTTCCTGTCACATACCCCAAGAATACACAAGGTAGTGCTCTATAATCAAATTTCTTTCTGTGAGGATTGACCTTGCTGGCATAACACAAGCACCCAAAAACCTTGAATTTAGCATATGCAGGTGGTGTATTATGTATAAGCTCATATGGAGTTTTCCATCCCAGCTTCTCAGTGGGCAAACAGTTGATAATTTGCACTGCTGTCAATAGGCTATATGGCCACAATTCTTCCTTGAGCTTTGCTTGAAAAGATATGGATCTGGCCACTTCCAAAATAAACCTATGCTTCTTTTCAACCACACCATTTTGTTGTGGTGTGTAAGGACAGGATTTCTGGTGCAACATCCCTTTTTCCTTAAGCAATGAGTCAAATTCTTTATTCACAAACTCACTTCCATTGTCTGTTCTCACCTGTTTTACCTTCACCCCAAACTGCACCTCCACCATTTTAAAAAAAATTCTTCATATGTGTGTACACTTCTGTTTTATGTTTCATCAAGAAAATCCAAGTCCCTCTTGTGAAATCATCTACAATAGTTAACATATAAGGAGTATTTGTTAAAGATTCTTGATTATGTGGACCCCACACGTCTGCATGTATTAGCTCAAATTTGCCTTTGGTTTTTATCTCACTTGGAGGGAAGGCTAACCTGCATTGTTTTCCTCTGTGACAGGCATCACATATATTCACATTTTCTCTTAATGCAGCTCCTTTTAAGAAACCAATGTGTCTCAGACAAGTGAGTGAAGTGTGTCCCAATCTCTTGTGCCACAGCTCCAGATCTTCCTCAGAATTCAATGCAGCATTAACAAATATATGCTTCTTGTTCAACACATAAAGACCACCTAGTTCTTTCCCAATGGCCAAAGTAATTCTCCCAACAGAATCTTGTAAAATGCAACTCTTGTCTGTAAATTCAAACCTCAATCCATAGTCCTTCACCAACTGACCAACAGAGAGTAAATTGTATTTAAAGTCTGGTATCAACAGCACATTTCTGAGTATGATTTGATCACTCAACCTTACTTCTCCAATCTGTTTGACATTTATCCTCGAGCCATCAGGTAAGTTGACAGTGATTGGTGAAGTGACATTCACTATTCTATCTACCATTTCTGTTTCTGAGCAAATATGTCTACTTGCCCCCGTGTCGATTATCCAAGTCCCTTTTTCCAGCTTGCTAAGTAAGGAGAAAGCATAATCTTCCATATTTCCTGAATAATCAACAAAGTGTGAAAAAAAATGATTTTCACTGCCTTGCTGACCTGCCATGTATTTAGCAACCTCCTTTTGGATTAGTGACCCTATTTCAGAAATATTGTCACTGTGTTGAGACTTAACATCAGAATCTCCCTTTGTCTCCTCACTATCTGTCATATTGATATTCTGATTTTGCCTTTGATCCTTGAGCTCCTTATACCAATCTGGATACCCATGAATCTTAAAGCAACCTTGAACTTCATGGCCATTATATCCACAGTGAGTGCAAAACAGTTTGGCGCTATCTTCTTTCGATAACCTTGAGCCACCCCTACCTCTGCCACCATAATTGTACCACTGTGCTCCACTTCCTCTTCCAATATTCCCTCTACCAAAGCCAGTGTTCCTACCTCCTCCTCGACCATAATTTCCCTTCACCATCATGACTGAAGAATCTAAAGGATCTGTTACATGGTTCAAATTGCCTTTCTGTTTTTCTACCTTCAACATCATAGAGTATGCCTTGTTCACAGTTGGCAATGGATCCATTAGCAAGATTTGGTTCTTTACCGGCTCAAAAACTTCATTAAGGCCCATCAAAAACTGCATTAACTTGATTTCCAAATCATTTTCCTGAAAAGCTTTGCCACTACCACATGTGCACTCAGGTAAGGTAACAAGACATGCATATTCATCCCATAAACATTTCAATTTGGTGTAATAAGCTGTGACCGATAAATTTCTCTGTGCAAAATTAGCAATTTCCTTTTGGAGTTGGTACCTAAGGGGGCCATTACTTTCACCATACCTTTCGGCTATCTCGTCCTCAACTATGTCCTTTGAGATGGAATTGAGAATCCAAGAGATTACCATGAATTCGACCTTCTGGTATTGATCGTATTCATCCGTGTCCTCTTCAGGTACGTCGATGGTTCCCTTGATGAAACCGAGCTTTGATTTTGCTCCTAGCGCCAGCTTCATAGCTCGACTCCAATGTAAGTAATTCAATCCAGTGAGTAGATTTGTGACTAGCACCAATCCTGGATGATCTGAGCCATGGAGCGAGAGTGGATCTGTATCTCGTGCGTAGTTGTGTCGAACGATCTCCCGACCTTGATCTCGATTGTCGCGTGCCATAGCAGTTCTTCAATAAACCTGCTCTGATACCATGTAAACTAGAGAATTTTTGATACAGTAATGAACATATTTGGGGAAATTTTCACAGCTAGAATATTTTCATTTTTTCTCATCTGAAGAAGATGAAGCAC